GTACAAAATATATTTATAAGAATCTATATAATCCATATAATCTATATCTATATATAGTTATATAAATATAGATCGATATATTTTCCGCCAATATATACTTTTAGCTTTAGATATATTTTCATAGAATTACATATAATATATGTACATACATTTATATATATAAATCTATAATATATATTTATCTATATATATATAAATCTATAATATATATTTATCTACATATATAAATCTATAATATATATTTATCTATATATATAAATCTATAATATATATTTATCTCTCTATATATATATAAATCTATAATATATATTTATCTACATATATAAATCTATAATATATATTTATCTATATATATTTATCTATATATATAAATCTATAATATATATTTATCTACATGTATAAATCTATAATATATATTTATCTATATATATAAATCTAAAAATATATGTATATTAACGAAAAATGTATCTATAACACATCTATAAAAATATTCATAGTCTATTTATTACTATTTCAAGAATCTACTTCTCCCCAAACCCCGGCCAATACATTATCCGCCAGAATTTCCGAATTGTCACTTATCGACGGCAGCGTATTTGCACACGCTCTTTTATGGATCGCATTTTTATATGCATTTCTACGCATCGATAAGCGGCAAATACGGGACGAAAACGATCTAATTGCATGGAGGAAAACCGTGGATAATAAAGACACGGTCGAACGTGTGGTACGACAGTGGACAACGGACGCGCGTGTATCACACGGGAATAGCCAGCCGCGATTCTAGAATATAATCTTTATCGGTTGCAATCGTCCTTTCATTATCCAATCGGCAGAGCCGTGCACGCGATGTATGTAGTCCTGAAACAGGATACTCGGCGAGGGAATAACCGGCACACACAGTCGTCATAGCCGATACCCGTTCAACGTGTAAGGTGAAACGGGTAACGAGCGAGACCGGCTTGTACACGTGTGCGCAATTTTCACGTAGGTGATGCAGTGACACTCGTGGGCTGGGGCACTCAGGTGCACGTACTGCTGGAGGTGGCCGATCTCGTCCAGGAGAAGCTCGGCGTATCCTGCGAGGTGATAGACCTCGTTTCTATCCTACCTTGGGACGCGGAACTCGTTTGCAAGGTAATTTCGTCATTATAATTTCCTCTGTTTTCATGCGTTAATGCAACCGGATCGTTCGCATGTATTACGTTCGAACGCGTGTTACGTGGGCCTGTGCCCTTCGCGGAACGAAGAGAGAGGGGGTGAGAGGGAGAGATGGAGGGGGAAGAGAGGGAGCGAGAGGGAGAGAGAGAGAGAGAGAGAGCAAAAACGCTCGAGGGAGAGAGAGAGAGAGCAAAATCGCTCGAGAGAGAAAGAGAGAGCGAAAACGCTCGAGAGAGAGAGAGAGAGAGAGCGAGAGCGAAAACGCTCGAGAGAGAGAGAGTGAAAATGCTCGAGGGAGAGAGAGAGAGAGAGACAGAGCGAAAACGCTCGAAAGAAAGAGAGAGAGAGAGAGAGAGAGAGAGAGAGAGAGCAAAAACGCTCGAGGGAGAGAGAGAGAGAGCAAAATCGCTCGAGAGAGAAAGAGAGAGCGAAAACGCTCGAGAGAGAGAGAGAGAGAGAGCGAGAGCGAAAACGCTCGAGAGAGAGAGAGTGAAAATGCTCGAGGGAGAGAGAGAGAGAGAGACAGAGCGAAAACGTTCGAAAGAGAGAGAGAGAGAGAGAGAGAGAGAGGCGAGCACTGCCAGAAATTCACTTCGAACAATTGTTTATCGAGGAAGAACAGTTTCGTTTAATCGAGAGGAAATTAAGAAATTGTTATTAACACGTTGTGTAACGCATCGGTCGCATACTCGCGAGTGACACTAATTTTTAACTGGATTTCTTTTTAACTAGATCTTTTGAAAATATGTTCCACGAAATCGGTTGTCGTTGTTACGAGTTGCAGCAAATTAAAGATCACAAAAATCGCAGTTTTGTCAGAATTTTTACACTCTGTCGAGCAAAAACTGTAAGAAATTTGCAATTTTCACGATCTTCCAACGCCTGTGTGGCTCGACTCTGATCAAATTTTCAGCGTGCACGTGAGTTATCGAGAATTTAAAAAACGAAGTGTTTTATTCTTTTTGTCATTCCAAACAGTAGCAAAACTAATAAGAAGCATTTTAGTCACGATCTAGTAGACCCAGTCTCTTTGTTATCTAAACAAAATTCCAGGTCATGCAGTTCAGTATGAAAAAGTGATAGCGTTTTAAATGGTCCACGGAACACCTTTTTTTGCGACAACTTTTTAAGAAACAAGCCTTACAACTTCAGTCATTTCCATATGAAACGTAGATATTGAGACATCTTAACCTGTTTTGGTCGGCGTTGAATCCACGATTAGTGATTTTCTTGCATAATGTATTTATGAGAAGAGTCCAGAAATAGGATTCCCCCTGGACGATGAGAAAATAATGCACCGGCTGTGACGAAATCATTGAAATAAATGAGAAATACGTGGTTCGCTATAAAACGAAGAAAGAATACTATAATGACTCTCTAATTGACGCTCGGATTGACCATAAAAATGGACAATTTGGGAAGAGGAGATACGATTATCCGAGCCTCGCGGTTCGTTTTTATAGTTACGAATTTGCAACAACTATAAAAACGAGCTGCAAGGCTCGAACAATCGTTTCTACTCTTCCCAAATTATCCATTTTAGTGGACAATCTCAGCGTCAGTAAGGGAGACATTACTGTACTTCGCGAACCGAATACAGTAATGCTGTCTAATCGACACTCAGATTGATCACAAAAATGGACAATTTGGGAAGAGGAGATGTGGGCAATCTGGGCGTCAATTAGAGAGACATTACTGCAATTTCGTTATTCGGTGATGGCAATGCTAAATAACAAGTAACAATTTGTTGTAATAGTTGGCATCATTTTATGATCAATATTGCTCGACATTGTATCTCCTCTTCCCAAATTATCCATTTTAGTGGACAATCTGAGCGTCAATAAGGGAGTCATTACTGTACTTCGCGAACCGAATACAGTAATGCTGTCTAATCGACACTCAGATTGATCACAAAAATGGACAATTTGGGAAGAGGAGATGTGGGCAATCTGGGCGTCAATTAGATAGACATTTACTGCAATTTCGTTATTCGATGATGGCAATGCTAAATAACAAGTAACAATTTTTTGTAATAGTTGGCATCATTTTGACATGTACATCGTATCTCCTCTTCCCAAATTATCCATTTTAGTGGACAATCTGAGCGTCAATAAGGGAGACATTACTGTACACACATACGTATGCACCATCGTGCACATTCATTGCCTCGGAGCATCGGTGAGAAAAAATTCACTCGTTCGTTTACACGATGCTAATAATAAACCGATCCATGAAAGCACGTCGATGCATTAAGCTGATCAATATTGTACGACTTTCCCGTCGGTGACACGTTCAAATGCAGTCGATAGGTGGGACACATTGCTCGCTGCGAGCAAGTTTTTATTTTGATCTCGTGAAAATAGTAATTTCTCTCGCTGTCACAACGATGAAGTAATTACGGTAGCCTGAGGTCAACCGGTTGTTACAGAACAATGCTGTAGTGTATCAATTATGACGTAAAAAAGGACTGTTTATATGCATGTAACAACTCTGTTCCGCCCCGTTCCGAAAGGTGCAGTTCCATACCGCCCGACGGAATAATACAATCGCGCGGAGGGACATTATATTTTACGAGCTTTTTACAATAATACCAGCGCGACGTCGAACAATCGGCTAGCACCTGAATAACACTTTTTTTTACGACCGATACACGTAGGAACGATGCACAATATAATATCCGAGCGTAAATCGTGGTAACGAAATAATGATCGCGGAAACGTGTTAACTGCGAAAACGTTATACTTCCAATAATCGCCGTGGTGCGTGTCTGTGTGTGTCTGTGTGTTCGACTTTCTTCAGCAGAGTTGTAATTTCTATACCGTCGATATTCGCGGAAAACACTGAATTCTGAAAAATAGGATGGGGCGAAGGAGACGCTTTTGTTCGAAACTCGATAGCGAAAGAATTAAGGAATTATCTGAACCCTAATTGCGACGTTAGAGAGACCAATTGTATCCGATAGTTATTTAAACGGATTCTATAGAATTACGTACCTTGCTTTATACTTTTGAAACTTCAATTATCTGTCCATTCATTGAATAACGAGCTTTCCTATAAAATATCGAAATAAATATCGAAATAAATATCTAAATAAATATCGAAATAAATATCTTATTTTTTACTTCTTAGAGAAGTTCATTTGTCCCTTTAATGAAAGAATTGGAATCGATTGGAATGATTATAGGTACAATAAATTTTCCTTAATTGTTCTTCAACTTGTGAACAAAAATGGACAATTTGGGAAGAAGAGACATTCAAATATCTATATTTATATATATATATATATATATATATATATATATATATAGCCATATATATATATATAGATATTTATATATATAG